GCCCTTCATTATCACACTTCGCGAAATCCCCCATTCCCTCCGTCAAATTATACGCGACATGTCTGTCCGAATATTCGATTGACACGAGGGACTCGTTCTTTTTTTTTCTCTTATAAAATCAGACACTACAAACCGTAGTTTGCGAGGCTGCAATGAGAAAACACGCTTTTCCGACGAGTGGATGCCGGACTGGTGGAAAGTTATTGATTTAAAAAGAAAATTGCGAGACCTCGTTAGATGTCTAATAAAATTCCGCGTCGATGTTTGTCGTTCGTTTTATTCGCAAAAATTACCGATACCACCGTAGCCGAATGATTCTGTTTTTACTTTAATAATTCCGCTTTTGACAGGCGCGACGCAATCTCTTGCGTCAACCGGAACAGTCTCGCAGATTCTGGATAACATTCGTTGCTCGCTAATTATGAGATTATACGAGATCTTTGTACCGTCGCGCAGCTACGAGATTCTGAAAACGCGACAGTTTTACGTTTAATTACTTTCTTTTGAATCTAAAGGCACCGTGTATTCCGGTGCTCTTAGCTTTTCCGAGAGCTTTCCTCGGGCGAATTAAAAAGTTTCGTGAGTTTCCCGAAGACATAGAGAAAAGCTGAAGAGTAACTAATTATAACTGAAAATAAATTTTTTCCTCTTTAATAAATGTTTGCGCGAGCCGATATTCGTGAAATTATGCGCGCGATCGATAAAATCGGTAAAATCATGCTCGGCGCGTAAGATCGATTTCATTCCCGTGTCGGATAGTTAAAAAGCACATTCCATCCGCGAGTCCCTTTAACTTTTGAACTCTCGCTTTTGCTGGCACAAAGGCACTCATGTATCGAGTCGGGCCTGTCGCTTGACAACTTCATTTCGCCCTAAGTGGTTTCGCTGTGTCGTCATCCCCAGAATTACGGCTATTAATCAAGGGTTGTTCAAGCGTTACAGCGAGTGTGTGTGTTGAAAGCACCCTATCGTAACTTTTATTTATGCAATAGACGCAACCCATCGACGCGATCCACGTCGGATAATCGACTTGTGCGAACGCTTTAGGTACTATATTACTCGCGCTCGTGTTGTCCTGTGCAATTTAATCGGCAACGATTGTAATATATTGCGACTGAAAATATGCGGAATGGAGAACTTCTCAAATTGATTAGCACAAAATTTTGTGCCTGTTATCAAAAGTAAAAAAAATTTAATATTTTGGAGTGTATAAATAACAGTTTGGATGACACACGAGTTAGAATGCTCGTATTCTATCTCTCCAAGTCAATCAAACCAACTAAAAAAAAATGGGAATTATAATTACATGTCACACATATCTGATAAAATGGAAAAAGCAAGTGAAATGAGGAAATGCATCTTTGTAGATGTGGATAACGGGATGAGACGTATTAAAAGAGGCACAAAGTTACTACGAATGGCATTCGGGAGGGTGTTAGGCATTCCGAAATTTACAAGTTTCCCGCAAAAACTGGTCGTAATGTTTATACGCGATGGGAATATCGAATTTTCACGTCATTGAGTCATCGCTATCTCAAAAGTCTAGAGAAATATGGGTCCGATCGAAGGGTTCCGCTATCACCACCCTGGCGCCACATAATGTCATCAACTCCCATTCGTAGCGTGTAACTTACAAGGGTCGATATCACGTAGACGAGACAAAAACGGACGTACAGGAGAAGCACGGAAGATAAAGAGTGTGTGAGAGAGAGAGAGAAAGAGAGCGGGTGAAAGCAAGAGAACGGGGGAAGAGCGGCGTCGAGCGAGTAGTATCATCAAATTTGCATAGCAGCCGACTTGAGAATCGCTGCTGGGCGGTTGTACTGAATGCTAACGACAGGCTCGCTCGCTCGCTCCCTCGCTCGCGCGATTCTTTCGCTCGCGAGACTCCATTCCCGCGCGAGCGAACGTGCGGATCCTTCTCCGCGAGTGGAGTGCAAAACCAGCGCACGATGGTGCACGTATTTCCGAGACGCGTTTACGCATCTGGTCACGAACGGGCCCGTTCTCGATTTCCTGTCTCGCAAGCTCCGGCGCGCGAGCGTATGTCCGGCGCGGCCGCGAGAGCTTTTTGCCGACGACGACTTTCATCGATATGGACGATACGACGTAACCGCGGCTCGATGCGTTTTGCCGCCGCGTTTTCGCCTAGTCGAGGCGAAAGCACGTGATTCCAAATGTACGCTCCGCGGTCGCCTCTCTCTCTCTCTCTCTCTTTCTCTTTCGAGTAAACACAGTTCTTCTGGGAGCTCTGGGTAATAGTGTTTTAGGGCCAACTCCGGTTAAATTCTAACCAGAAGTGCCAATATCCAGATTGAATATAAATTGTTCATTGAGATTCAGTGACACTGTTTATGGCACGTCGCATTTAAGTTGGCTACTCTGCTACTTTTAATTCTCGGTTAGCTTAATCGGAGTTGGTAAAACCGGCTCTTAGGAGATAGAATCTAACCATTCTAGAAGTCTTTTTTCATTGATTCAACTCGCAAATCCCTCAAGATAGTGGAACCAATCGCAGTGGTTCATTATATTGTGTTATTATTATATCATGGGGTTACAAAGCAGCTCACTTATGGATTTTACTCTTTTGAAAAAAGATATAATTCTCAACACTTCAGTTTTATGTTTAATAAGTTGCTATTGGTCAATATATACTGGCGCGCGCGCGCGTTTATAACAGTAACAACTTCAAACACCAAAGTTTATTATAATCAAGATACAAAATTATGAAAAAATGAATTAGGACACGTTTCACTTGATACTCGTAACGCATTTCGCTGGCATCCCTGTCACTCAAATACGCCACTGTGTCTTCTAGGCACACTACTCGGCAGAAGCGCACTGCGTCGCTAAAATTTTCTCCCACACTCTTTCTCCCGCTCTCGTCTCCACTGTGGAAAATTTATTAGCTCCGAAATGGCTCTAGGAAATTAGAGGTGGATATCGATGTTCAGCAGCGGAATGAAACAGATTTCGATATTAGTGCCATTAGGCGGATATCGACAGACTCAAATGTAAGCGGTACGAAAAGTGTGCGTGCGCGAACTGCGATTTTAAGCTTTGCTTTAAAATGTTCTTTCATCAAGAGAACTTGATGGATTTTTCTATGAAGATATGCGGATCTTCAAGCAAGTAACGTTCCTATTAACTCACTTGCTTGTTATTTATATCTACCCTCTATATGTTGTATACTTTTTCAGCTGCACTGCTGGAACTGGTGCAATAAGCTAGAGTGAGAAAAAATACATTTGTCTCACTTAAACTTATTGCACGAGTTCAGCAGTGCAGCTGAAAGAAACAGACCAAATGTTTGACGTGCCTGTTCTATATCTATTCCTGCGTTACTTATTCTCCGTGCTTGCTTGTCAATCGCAAAAACACATTTGTCACGGTAGCATGCGGCTATATTTAACACAAAAAGAGACAGATCGAAGCGCGCAAGTTGGCTTCTGTAGTGAACAATCGCGGCGAAATGGAACGCGTTATCTCCTGTCCAATGGTTGCCCAATAATGAGAGACACGGTTGCTGACGAACACGCAACAAAATAACTCCTTCGCTCACGTGAATGACGTTACGTCCTGGAGCACGTAGTAATTTTGTCAGTCTCGCTGGCGGCAACGTTTCGGGAAAGCCAAATATTCGATCGACATCGTGACGGAAATCCCGCAACGGAGGAAAGAACATTTCCGAGCTACTTCCGCGATTTCCTTCCGACAACTCGGTGATCTTATTATCGCGCACGACGTTAGTTCGCCGGTTAGTTACGTGACGATGAGTGCCGGGGAGAGCGGCCGATATAGATTTTAAATGCATCCGTCGTTTCGATTATCGGAAGCGCCGGGAAACGCAACGACGTAATGGAATTTCTCCGAGTCGAGAACGAATTGTTGAAAAGGACTTGGTCGCAATAAGTCGAATCTCGTTATGTCGAGATTAAGCGCCCTGGATGGCGATCGTGCAGATTATTATAATTTTGCGATTGCCGGTCTGTCGATATCGATACTGCGCGACGTTTAGCAAAACAGAAAAAAAAATGAACGGCTTATGAATAAATGATCGAGCAACCGGATGCGGTGTTTGCGGCTTCTACGTGAAAGGCAACGGTGGGTTTTACCTGCCCCGAGTTACGGACGTTTTAAGAACCGTCATACCTTGTCAATATTTATATAAAAAACCATTATTCTATTCTTTTTACTTTTTCTCTCTTGTTGTCCCACCAACAACGATCGGATAGATTACGGTTCATGTTGTCGCGCTACACGTTGTTACTCTAACTGAAAAAACATCACGTTTTACCTAGAAAAAGTTTTCATGTTAGTTTGTACGATATATGGAAAATAAGTTGGTTAAAGGTAGCCGACAAAAATAGCAGCTCAATACTTGAAACAGTCAGACTGCGGTGTGTTAATTATTTTGCAAAGGTTATTTCTCTCAATACTTCGATATGACATTCGCGAAGCTGTACGAGAAACGTCAGACAACAAATAATCGCACTTAATTATTGCTCAGGTATCAAATAATTATTGCGTTAACGAGCGACTATATTTTCACCTTTCTGATGCGTGAGCATTTTCCTGATCATAGATGAATGAAACAGACTACGCATAGGCACTGCTATAGAAAAGATGAATCAAGCCTAAGGCTCGTATTAATAATCGCTACTTAAAACTTGTCCTACGTAAAATATTCAAATTTGAATTTAGAGTCAAATGAGTCAAATGAGTTTTTTATTTGAATTATATAATATATGTGACATTACATATGAAATTGCGATTCAGTTAAGAGAAACTCAGATCTAACTCGGATCTAACTCTAAATTAAAATCTGAGTGTCTTAAGTGTCTGAAGCAAGTTTCAAGTAACGACTTAATATGGACCTTAGTCTCTGATGTGGATGCATGCTAAGACGTTTTCGAGTTATTTCTCGCCGTTGGAAAAGAATCCAAATGACGATCGAGGTCCAACGAGATTGTGCACGCGTATTTGGATGCGTGTTGCAGCCCCAGCTTTGACGATCAGCGACGATTCGGGGCGTATAGTATCCAAGGAGAGACACCTCAAGGCAGGCAGCGTCCTCAGGCTCAGGTGTGAGGCGAGAGACGTGCTCGAGTCGCTGAACGAGTCTGTCGTTTGGACTAGAGGAGACGAGACGCTCACCGAGGACGTCAGGTGAGTGCTCGGGAAATCATTGTTTCATATTGCGGCCGCCTGTTCCCGATTCGAACGCAACATGTGCGATCGCCTCGATAAGTCGTCCCGCCTTTTTCCCTGATACCTACCCACCGCGGTGGCGCATTCACCCCTTTGTATCTCGAGCTACTCCGATCCATACTCCGAGGGCGCGCGCGCTTACAAGAGAAGAAAGTCTGGAAGTGTTCCTCGGCACAATTTTAAATGGCCAAGTATAAAAGATTCTGGTTCAAAGTGCTTCCTCGCCCATTCAGATTCAAATTGCAGTCACATCTCTGACTTTTAATTCTATAGATTTGTTTACGAACGTATAAATATGAAAAACAAGATGATAAAAAATGATTATGAATAAGATAGTAAAAAATAAGATGATAAAGATGATAAGATGATAGTAAAAACAAGATGATAAAAAATGATTATGAATAAGATAGTAAAAAACAAGATAATTAAAATATGTCGAGGCTCAATATAAAATTGAGTAAAAAACTTGGTAAATACAATTCTCGAGATCCTCTTGAGGTAAACAGGAAAATTATTAATTATTAATTTCAGTATCAGCATAATTATTAATTTCAGTTTCATACAGGTAATCGTCCATGTATTTATTTATTATTGTTTATAGCTTACGATGCAAAAACAGAGGATTATTTCCATGATATGACTGTTTCAATTATAAGAGATGGAAGTTGCAAAATGACAAAATAATTCCGCGCAATCCCTGATAACCTTTTGTTTTTCTACTGTAAATCGACAAACACACGTGCAAATGGTTAGCTCGACGTTATCGAAGCGAAAAATCTGTATGTTTACTCCGGAAACATTGATTTCCGCGGAGCCACGTCGAATAAGATTTTTTTGTTCGGTTTCATGAATACTACGAGCTAGTAAATTTTCAAACAGCCTTAACATCCCGCACGTGCAAGCACACTTCTCTCGAGATAACTTCGGCGCGCTCCCTCGCGCTCGAGATTCAGTTTCAATGGATCCCATACAAGAGAGACAAGAAAAAAAATTAATTTCACTACGAGCATTCATCCGTTGTAATCGATGGAACAGCTATGAGATTCCGAGCGGTCACGGGAACGGAAAGAAATGTCGCTCGGGTAACTTTCCCGGAACGATTTCGCCGCAGTTCCGGCGTAAAGCGGCTTTTTAATTAAATTATCGGATCGCGACAAAGCCGGAATACGTAAGAGCCTCGAAGGTTTGCTCGAAATCTACATTGCCGAAAGAAGCGAAGTCTCGTCGTCGTCCTCCTCCTATTCCTCTCCCTCACCTTCCTCTCCTCCTCCTGTTCCTGTTCCTCCTCCTCATCGTTCCTCCGACGCGCTCATTTTGAACGACGGTAACACGCGGGAAATATCTAAAAATCCTGCACAGGTATTATTCTCGTACGTGAGCGGGTAAAAGATTTTCCCGTACATGTTCGTTCATGCTCGCCGCTCTTAATGCGGCGATACAGATATTCTACACGGTATCCACATCCTACATTCGCGTCTCTAGTACGAATACAATCTTCTTTCACGTGCACGTTCACTATTTTCGATAAATACCGCGGGAACTTTATTTGCGCCCGAAATAATAAGCTCCATAAGTCTCCCGTTGCACTTTTTTTGGGAACTTGACGCAATATAAAAGCGATAAAATGGAATGTGCGCTCCAAATATAGGTGAATATTCAGCCTCGAGGCAAGCACGATCATACCCCATTTTAGAATCCTACAATTTCTCGCCCGTGTAAGAGCGAACGGTCTTACGTGCTTCGTAAACACTCCATATCGATAGCTTCTCAATATCAAATTTTTCAAGGAAGTTACAGATGAGAACGTATGAAGTCTGAAGGAAAGTTGTAATAACACAATGTGAATCTGCAAAGGAAATCCCTAAAAGATCTAATCTTTTTTTTTTCGAAATTATTTTCCAAGGAAATTATTATATTTGTTAACTTTTGCATGCTTCTACGAACAAACAATCCTAAACTTTCATTTCCCTTGTTATGAAACGTTTGGCGATTTTGCGCGATATAGATTCTAGCATTCTCGACTTAAGCCGTGACTGAAAAACTTTGAGCTTGAAAATTCTCTCTCTATATCGAAGTGAACATCTTCACGAGTAAAACGTTCAATATCGACAACATCCAAAAATGAACGGCAACTCCAACTCGTTATCGGTTATCTGTTCGTGGCGCGTACGAAATTCAAACAGTACACGCCGCAATGAAGCTCGACGCCCGGTTCCTAAACGAGCTTCTTAATTAAATCGACGGACAAGGCGTGGTCGAAATCCACATGCGAGAGACTAGGGAGCTTTCCTAACAACCCTTCGCGAATACTCGACGGAGTCATCCCTTCTTCGCTCTCTCCTAATCACTCAACGATAACGTAGTATCAACACAGGGTGTTTCAGATTTTTCAGTTTTCTTTTCACCTATAGTTTCTTGAAACTAGTTTTTCCTCAATGGAAATATGCACTGAGAATAAAATACTAAAAGTAAAATTTATTTTTGTGAAATAAAATTTATTTCTGCGATATGAAGTTCGTTTCTGTATGTGAATAATTTTTATATTCCACAAATAAATCTTCAAGTATTTTTTCTCAATGTAGAGGCAGCAATCTAAGATTTTAATCACTAAGAAACTATTCAAGATTTACAGAAACAGAGATTAAAACTGTATTCCTCGCTTAACGTGAAGTTACTTTTGCCGAAGAAAAACTCTCAAGTCTATATAGGAAGGAGAACGATGGAAGAAGCTAATGGAATTTTAACTCGTTTCCGAGACGAATTTAACGTTTGATGTATAATTAATAAAGTTTATCTAAAAGATAGCGTCCAGAATTTTTCGCGAAATGAAAGAAGAATTATCAAGATTGAGTTGCCTCAAGTTTCTCGAAATATACGACGATCGAATTTCCGTTATGGAAAAATCGTTCGTCCACGAGGACGCGCCGGCACACCCCGTATATGAGGGGTAGTCCCGTCCGTGTGTTAAGCGCGGCATGTGAACCGGACAGAAACTCACGGACACGATCTCGTTTTCAGCGAGAACAGGACGACGGAGATCTCAGCGGGCAAGGAGGTCCTCGTGATTGTCAGTACCCTCATCGTCGAGAGAGCCAGCCCGAGGCACGCCGGGAACTACAGCTGCATGGTGGCCGGCAAAGCCAAGACCACCGTCGCGGTCCACGTCCTCAACGGTGAGTACGTCCTTGCCGCACGTGTGCCGTCCTGTTACAGCTTTTCCCTTCCCCGTGGTCCTCAGATCCGGCGACGTCGATTCGGTGATTCCGTTCGCCGGCACGTCGCTCGTTACTTATCAAAGCGGAACGAAGTTCTACAGTACTCGTGGCGGGAGGGACTGGTGAATTCCAAGGGAATCGGTGCTACCACGCGCGTGCTACGGATTAACAATTTGAAACTTGGCTCATCGCGACCAAACGCCGTCGCCTTTCCCATCTCGAGCAGAATTCCCCTTACTCTGACATTCGCTTTTAGCGATTTCCGCTCCGCGGAATCGAAGCGTCGCCGTACGCAAGGCGTTTCTCTCATTTCTCACGGAGAATTCTCTTTCTCCCTCTCTCTCTCTCTCTCTCTCTCTCTCTCTCTCTCTCTCTCTCTCTCTCTGTCTGTCTTCCTCTCTTAATGCGACGAGTTGAGCCTTCCACAGCGTGCGCCTGCACACGTGTGCGAGCGATTCCTCTTCCGGTATTCCCCGACGATTACACGCGTCTCCACGCGCCATTTCGCACGCCCGCGCGCGAGAATGCACTCTTGCCTCCGTGTGTGACGAAGGGGAGCGAGATTCCTACGACACGCCTGGTAGCTACTTATCAAACTCGAATAGAGCCGTCGCGTGAGTACGAAAACGCGATATGAATCGCGAGGATTTTCGCGCGGCGATCGCTCATGGTTGAGCTCCGCGGAAGGGTGTGCTCCACGTTCGTCGCCGTTCGCGAATACGCATCAACCGCGAAGCGTGAGGGGACACGAGCACGCTTCACACCACCGTCCTCTTTCTCTGTCCGCATGCTTGTATACCTATGTAACCCTTTCCTACCTTCTCCCCACTCTTCTCCTCTCTTTCTCTACCTCCCCCGGCATCGTAGAATGTTAATGTCGCTATAGCTCTTCATTATATCGTGCGATGCACCCTCCGCCGCATTTTCGAAAATTTGCGAGGACGCTTAATTTATTCCGGCGATCGCGTTCGCGCATGATAGGGAAATATTGTGCGTTTTATCACACGTCGCGCCGAGAGACCGCCGTTTCCAACAGTTCTCCACTACCCGGCGACGAACCCGGCGAAATGGATGCCCCAAGTATTCTGTCGCGCTTTTCGCGAAAACGGCGGCGGCGAGATTTCGGATTTATCAACCGGCCGGTAGGGTAATTCACTGAGAGCTTCCGCCCTCTTCGCCTCCTCCAAATTGCGTTTATTCGCAATCCGAATAATGAAATGGGTCGGAATCGAAAATAACTTGACGCCAGACTTTCAGTGGTCTTGCCATGCAGTCAATATTTTGCTCGATTCACCGCGTTTCCGGCCACTCACCATTCAGTACTATTAAAAATAAGACGTCTTTGAAAGAAAAAGAGAAAATGGGAGGGAGAGGCGCACAGACGACGGGAGAAAAATCTTGTTTCTCCAGCGAATACTCGGCGAAAATCTCAAAGGACACGCCAATCGTGTACGAATTCGTGGCGATATGTCACGAAACAGGCTGTTAATCGCAAATCTCTCGCGGCTCCGCGAGTGTAATGCGTCTGAAGTGCAAGGACGATGAAGAAATCTGCTATACAGCGCGCTCGCACCTTTTCCGACGAGCATTGGTAAGACGGAAAACTCCCCTTCATCCCCTAATGCGCTTAGCAGATGTACCAAAAACTCGGGGAAACCTGGAAACGAAGGAAACATACGGAGAGAGAGAGAGAGAGGGGGGGGGGAGAAGAGAAAAAGAGAACGCCCCTGTTTTCCTGTAACGTTATCTATTCGATTCGGGCGCAATTCGCGCTTGAAATTGCAGTAGCCGTACCGATCGCGCTCGATTTCACCTGTTTCACGAAGTGTCTCTAGTCGCGCTTGCAATGACGATACGCGGAAAAGATACTTTAATTAAAATTTGTTAAGCCTGTAACTAAAAAAGTGTTTTTTTTTCAAGTCACGTCCCTTGCACGGTTATACGTGTTGTGAAGTGGTGCACACGAGAATGAAACAGAGCCCGATTTTGATTAAGCTTCTGCCTGAATATGATGCAATATTGCTCAAAAACTCTCAATGTTCTCAAATGAAAGTCAATGAAATCTGTATGTATATATATAAAAAGATAAAGAAACTTGCGATATTTTTTTATAAAACGAGTCTATAAAGCTTTTAGGCAAAACAAAGGTAAATTACGAGCGATAGAGCTCTTGTTGTTTACGTGTGTAATAAAACCGTGCATTTGTCACAAAATGTTATCTTAGGGATGGCTGAACCCTCATCGAATTTCTATTTCGAAATAAAGGAGTGATAATCTCCAAGGCTTTCAGCAGAGATAGTATCCGGTAATAACGTCTCAGAAATATGTCTTATATAAAGGAAGAATGTCTCCCTTTTTTTCTCTTTCTCTCCTCTTCTTTTTTTTCTATTCGTTGTATGGTAGGGAATAGGGATAGAAGGGCGTTTGAAGCTTTCAGTCGCGATCGCCGGGAGGAATAGCAGCGAAAGAAACAAACAGTGAACCTCGCAGCATCGATTAAACGTAACACGCGCGAGAAATATTTACTATAATAATATTTATATAAAAGCATCATAATATTTGTATAATAATATTTGTATAAAAGGGCAGAGAGATATTTTCTGCGAAAAATAAAGCAATTACAACGCATGATTTCTCCAGAATTTCCGATGGGGAATGAAAAAGTGAGAGTTATAGCTCCTGGCTGACACGAGAGCCAGAAATATCACCAGAAATTTTTAAAATATAGAACACATGAAGAGAGGTTCCGCGGCTCACGCTTCTCGTGATACAAGAAACCAGCATGGCGTCGAGGAAAGCGCCGGCAGAAGCCGAGTAGAGAATAAACAACCTGCGGTCTTGAACCGCGCGCAATACAAACATATTTGCGATGAGATACTGCCTTATACACAAAGGAGACAAAAAAGGAAGATCTCTCACAGTGTATTTATGAAAACTGTACATTTCGCGCAAAAGGTTTCATACTCATAATTGCCGAGAAGACCAAAAGGACACGACGCGTGCGCGATGCAATCATACACACACTTACGACGCTGCACCCGTCACACGAAGTCAACACGAAGCGATTCGTCTTTTAATAACCGGCAGTAGGAAAATCAAAGGGCATCGAACGTTGAAGCGCGAGTAAAGCGAGGAAATGAAGCGGCGAAACGAAATGTCGAAGAAATTGCATCGCGAACGGAGGGAATCGCCGGTCTGCACGAGGCGGCTCGCGTCTCGGCTCTGAAAACTCGACGGTCCCAAAGTCATTACACGAGATAAGGTTTACATTCGCCCGTAGCAAACAGGGAGGACGGTTTTGTACCTGACGACAGAGCAGGATTGGCGCACCTCTCAGCAACGAGGATAGCGAAACTCGACAGAGAGACGGAGTAAGAAGGGAAGAGGGTAGGTTCGTTTTTGATGCAGCTGACGGCAGTGCAAATCTTTGATACATCGATACAATACGTCGCACAATGCGCATTGTGCTCCTTCCTCGATGGTCCATAACGAAACTCACGTTCGCCAAGACGGCAGCGGAAAAAGGAAGAGGGTTTTCCTTCCTTCCTCCCTCCCTCTCTCCCACCGTCAGAAGGGCGATGTTTTCTCACCGGGTATCCGTGTTCCCGGAGATGAACAGACGGCGATAGGGGAATGGGAGAGGTAGATAAGGAGGGACAGGTGAGGGGGGGGGCGAAGCGGAGCGGCCGCATCTTCTTCCTCCCTCGCTCTCACGAGCAGGACATAATGCGCGCTTTCAACGCGCTCGCCTTCATTGCGAAGCCACTTCTCCTCAAAAGTAAACTCGGCACAAGGAAATCTTAATCTTTCGCGCGCCTGTCATAATCTCACGAACGCACCTTTGATCTTCTCCCCTGGTCGTGTCATCGCCTCATTCCTCGCGAGTGCGCCGCTCATTGCCGCTCGCAATAGCGCGACTTCAATCTCGCGGATTATGCTTCGTCGGGATTAATCTCCAGAAACGATTTTAATCAGCGACACTTTACGAAGGGAGCATTTCGAGGAGAGTTTCCCCCCGCCCTCTCGGCGATCCATTATTATTATATCTTTACGAAATTGCAAAATTTCTACATCTTTTAGCGCGTGTAACGTCAAGAGCGAGAACGTTAAGCTGACAAAATGCAAACCTCGAGTCGCTCTTTGACGAAATTGACAAGCGCAAATATGCTCTAATATCCGAATTAATAGTCGCTATTTGAAATTTATCTCAAGCGAGAGACTCATTGCTATCCGTCACGATTCTCAGGAATCTCGTATAAGTTGCAATCGTCTTGAATGAAGCAGCTACGATCATAAAGTGTCTTGAGAAATTCTTTTATGTACAGAATTGAGAAAAAAATTTGATTCACTTTTTACAACTTAATGAATTGTTTAAGAATGTGTATCTGATCGCGCGAGCTACGATCATAAAATGTTCTGAGAAATCTGGTATTTGATCGAACAGATGGAGATCTGACTCCAGTTGAACAATATAGAAAGTTGACCACGAACAGTGGCGAATAAACACGAGGGGTCAGCTGGATTGTCTCCCTCTTTACATTCCGAGATTCTGATTTTCCGGGACAATGCATGTCCACAGTCGTCGACGTCGTGGATTTTTTTTTTTCAAGGGGAAAGTCCAACGGCCGTCACGAAAATAACGGAACCACAATGGCGTAAGATTAAACAACGTCGTTGGCTGCGCATGGACGCGATCTTTATTCAACGTCGCGTCGTCGTCGTCGTCGTGCGCCGTTAGCAGCCCGCGTAGACGACGACGACGACAACGACGACCACCACCACGACTAGGATGCACGTTTCATGGAAATGGAAATGCCAGCAGCCTAATGTGACGGCGGCATGGAAATGGAGCGAACCGTGGGGACCGAGGGCTTGACGGAGACGACTGTGGCTCGCACACGGACGAGGGCAGTGAATGCACCTCGTCGACGGGGAAAGGAACCCGCGTTATCGCGCGA